TCTAGGACTTGACCATCATGGACCATCTGAGGGTCCCTGAAGACTGGTTTGAGAAACACTGGTGTAAGGCGCACTAAAATAGAGCTCCTATGGAGTCAGAATCTGTCACAGCTGGTAGGGGTGTGGCTTTTAACAGAAGACCTGTTCTTCCACCAGCTTCTGGCAGGAAACAAAGGACTGAGGGCCATTAGGAGCCAGGAGAACAGGGTTACCTAGGGGCGTCCAGCAGAGGGTGCGACTGGTATACTAGGGCGGACTTAGGCGATAGATAATCCCAGGGAGGAAGGGAAGACATGTCAATCGAGGACTCCCGGGGGAGGAACTATGAACATTTGTAAAAGGTATTTATTCTGCAAAGAGCACCCAGGACAATTTTAACATCTCAATGCAATTAACCTAAAGCAGGAACAGTCGTCTCTTTTTCAAGTGGCATACGCTATGTCAACACCACTACCTTTTTGTTTGAAAACATAGACATTAGTCTCTGTTTTACCCTTTCATCCATACTACCCCTGTGTTTTCAGCCCCCAAAAATGGAGATTTGCGTTCAAACTAGTTAGAGCTTAATTTGTGATATACTCTATGAATGAATTCAAGCCAAAAAGACTTACCATATTATGTTTAGGTGGGAAACTATATTTCGCCTAGTACATATCATGTGAGTATGTGATTCCAGACCCACCCTATTACTCAGATGGGGTCACTGTGCTGTCACAATGTGGGGAGGAGAACACACTGTCACGTAGGCTGTCTGGTTAGGGGGGGGGGGGGGGGGAAACTTGGCAACAAGAAGAAGATTAACATTTGAAAATAAGCAAAGATTGTTAATAAGTCTGTCAAGTTTTAAAATAGTAATGCACAGGTATGTTGCAGTAACATGCAAAGAAAGATTTTATAATCTGTATGTTCAGTATGGAAATGAAATTCAATTAACAGTCTTTGCTTTTTGCTGTTAGGGTATCAAACTTAATATAGTTAAATTACCAATACAGTCTGCACACCCTACAGGTAAAGATGCCGGTATTTACTTTATAAATCGAAAAAGATATCATTTATTGTGACTTTGACCTTATGGCAGATACCAAAAATAGCAATGAATTTCCTGCTTGTAGAAAGACATTTACAACAAAGAGTCAGGGAAAGATTTCTACAGAAAGTCTAAATGATAAAGTAATTAACACCAATTAACCGATATCCTTAAGCTTCTGTGTAGGACTCAATGTACTTAGACATCGGAAATACAAGACTGCAAGAAAATAAATGTCTAACAGAGCACAACTGAAGCCAAAGTCAACAATCTTTATTATCAATTCTGCCACATGTACACAAACACAGAGGACTGAAATTACTTTACTCCCAGACCCCACGGTGAGTGCACATACAATGACAAGCAAGACAGACAAGTTTCAAAAATTAAATCAAACTAAATTAAGTACTTTGTGCAAAAGACAATAAGAATAAATATGGTGGATTAACAGTGCAAATGTAGACAGCAGCCGTTTTTCAGTTTTACAGTCTTTGTTGTAAGTACATAAGTAAGCAAAGTAAAGTGGCTAGTACGGGATATGGCTGGGTGGGGGTTACAGTTAGGCAGGTGTAGGAGGGGTGTCCCACAATGCTGACTGCTTTGCGGGTTAGGCAGGTGTAAGAGGGGTGGGTGGGGTCTCCCACAATCCTGACTGCTCTGTGGGCTGGGCAGGTGATGTAGATGTCTAGGAAGGAGTAGGGCTCCAAACCACGCAGTGATGCAGTTTGTCAGGATACTTTCTGTGGTCCCTCGACAGAAGGAGGCCATGGGAGCAGGGCGCTAGTTCTTTTTAATGTGCAGGGGACGTAAAGGTTGTTGGGCTTTCTTCACCAGTGATGCAGTGTTCTTTGACCAGGAGAGGACCTCTGTGATGTGCACCCCTGAGAATTTTGTGCTGCTCACCCTTTCCACGGTAGTACCATTTATGGCCAGCAGGGGGTGTTGGGTATGCAATCTCCTTTGTTTTGTCCACGTTAAAGAGGCGCTTGCTATTGCTGCACCACATGGTCAGTTGGTTCACCTCATTCCTGTAGTTAGTCTCAGTCTCAGTAAGTAACATCTAGATCAGCAATACCTCACACTCTGGACCAGGGAGAGCAGGTTATTTAGGGGAACTAACCAGGTGTACCCACTCTAAGGTTAATTACACTGGCACGTGGAGCCAACTGTCTGTTTCAATGAAAGTTTGTGTATATTCAGGCCTTTACTTGCTCACCTCTCCCCCTCCCAGTGCTTGGCCAAGCTCCTCTTAACACCAGCATTGTGGGGGGTCAAAACACCTCTATGGGAAGTTCTCCCTGGCTGGCCAGTCTGTACCACAATGGTTCCCAGGTGTGTGAAGGATCCCTCATCAACAGAAAGTGGGTGCTCACTGCTGCCCAGTGCTTCTCCAGGTGAGTCCTAAAGGTAACCTGTGACCTACAACTGTTGGTGTTATCTCTGACAGGACACTGCAACGTTACAGTAGCTTTACTTCAGAGAAACATCAAAAGTTAATCT